ACCTGAGTCATCGTCCTGAGAAATTGGGACGTGACAGAGGCATGTGGCCTTGCTCTGCTTGTTCATTTGAGAGAGAGAACCAGGAGGGATTTGGGGCCATATGGTCTCTCATGGCTTACTGGTAGCGGAGATGTGACCTGCTGAGTACATCTCAGACCTCTTTGGTCCAGACCGCTGCAGTTTGGGTTCTTCTTGAAAGGCAGGCTTCGTGGGTGGCATAAAGATATTTGTCCTGATCACAGTGGATGTGTGAAACTTCAAGTTTGATTTTAGGATTAAGTGTGTTTCTGAAGGCAAGACAATCTACTCAAGCGTGGCCTTCATTGCTCTGAAGTAACGATGAGTTTGAGCAGGTTGTGCCAGGACTAGGCTGAACCTTACTTGTGCATCTCTGCAAGCCGAGCTCTGTCAGTAGGACGCATCCATCCCATCTAAACTCTTTACAGAGACAAACGTCGTTGGCTGCGGTAGGTATGGGCATGGCAGAGGGTTTTGCTGGTCTTCCTTCTCAAGCTCTAACTAGTTACTCTTCTTTTCATCCAGTGCTGTCTTAAACCAGGAGCTCAGTACGTCGAGAGATGGAGGTGCCCAGCCATCTGCTTTTCCGCAGGCAATACTGGAGAGTTCTTCTCTCTAGATGTCTAGCCTGATTAGCATCAAATCCCTGAGAAGGGTATGAATAACTTTATTCTCAGCTCTCTAATAGCAGCAACTGATGGAGCCATCTTCGCAGGTGGCTGAGACGTGAGGTATAGCCTGGCACCACTGTGGGGAAGTTCATCATGTCTCGGCACCACGTATCGCTGCATGACTTCTTCCCCCCAGCCGGGCTACAGCTTGTTATACCCCAGCTTTGTTCCCTCTCAGTTGCTGGCAAAGTCGTGCCTCATCTAGATTGACCTCTACAATTGGCTGTAGCGCTTCTGTAGATAATTGCTGTCCAGGCGAGAGCTTTTTTTTTTTTTAATATATTCAGTTGTGATTTAGAAATTGGCAGTGGTGGGAAATCTGCTGCGCCTTTTTGTTGGGTTAGTTAGCCAGAACTAGAACCTAACTTAAAAACATGTGCCTTACCTGCCTTGACTGACATCCTTTATCTGTGTCTTCTAGGGTGACTTTGCCTCTTCAAGTCATTGTCCAAAGAGATCTCTGGTTCCTATCTCGATCAGACGATCAACTTGTCTGTGTTCCCCCTCACACCCTTCTCCTCTCAGGACACTCCCATCGCTTTCCTTGTTCTGTACTGGAGACCTTTGGGCCAGAGCCAAATCCTTCAGGAAGTCCCTGTGCGTTTGGGCACATCAGGATACGACTGAGGCTTCGCTCTTTGGTGCAAAGCATGATTTATTTTGACTGCCAGCGTGTCTCCCCTCGAGTGCAGTGATCTGGCAGATGTGCAGCCACCTGTGGGGCTGGAGCCTTTGCAGATGGGTCCGCGGCAGCTCCTGCAGCGCGCACCTGCAGAGTTTTAAGTGGGGGTTTGTGTGGGGCTGCTTGTGTTTTGCAGAGGAGTGTTATGATGTGGTGTCTCATTTGGGGACAAGTTGAAGTTGTCAGCTACCTTTCTGCAGTGGTGTATGGCGCTCTCGAGAGCTTAAGGTGCTCTTTCTCCTCCTTTTATTCTGGATAGACCGCAGAAATAGGGCTCCATGTGGCAATATTCCACATAAGTCTCATGTTCTCCTGCCTTGCACGTATCTTTTAACCTAAAACTACATGAGCTAGCAAGTTGAGCAGAGCTATCTGACTCCTGTAGTCAGTTCTGTTTCCTTGTGCTCCCACCATCCAACTTGGGAATGAAGACTGCAAGATCTATCACTCTGCCAGCCATCCCTACGTGCCCTATGACCACTCCAGGCTTCAAAAGCCATTTCTTTTGTCCCAGTCTAGTTTCATCTTGTGTTGCTTGTGAGTATCCTGGCATGATGAGGGAGGAAGCTATTTGATACTGCCGCTCTTAATTTGGGATGTGAAGCCAAGAGCTCTCTCCCATTAAGTGAAAGAGCATCTTCAGAGCTGGACGTTGTGCTAAGTGGTGCTTTGTGCCATTGGGACCCCTTCTAGGCCAGCTGCTGTCATTTAATAGACTTAAATAGATTAACACGAACATGCAGGTGTGCCACTTATCTGCTCTGCGGAGCCTGTAGCGTCTCGCCAAGTAAGAGTATGGCTCAGATCAGGGATCTGGAGTTTTCTTCTGTTGGACCATATCTGGGGTTATGCGTAAAAAGCTCACTGTAGCATGGTTCTCCCTCGCCTGATTTTTTGCTGGGAGGAGGACTGTGTCTACAGCCTTCCTCAAAGTCGCTTCCCAAGGCTTTTCTGACCGGTGTTTCTGATTGTCATGCTGCAGTCCCTGCAGAGTGATTGGTTCTCCTGTGGCTTCACTTGTAGAGAGGATGAGGGCTTGTAAGTTAGAAATGGTGAGAAAGTCCATGTTGAGCTTTTGGACTGTCTCCTCCTTTGAACTTCATAATTATAAATTAAGCAGGGATAATCTGTCTTCGTATTGCAGGCAGGGTTGCAGAACAGTAAGCAAAAGCCTCGGTCTCTTCCAGTCTGTGCAGTCACTGGGCAGTTATCAGGTCTGTTTTCAGTTAATTGTCCTAAATTTACTGGTTTCTCGTCTATCTGTATCATTATATGTATGTGCACTTTAGGAACCACGGAGCAGGAGTTGAGCCGGACACCAGGAGGAATAGAGGAGGTGCGTAAGAAAAACCTAGATCTTAAATCTTGGTGATCAGAATAACCTGCTGGGAGAAAGGTGTCTGAACCCTTGAGTGCTATAAAATCTCCAGGAGAGGTTTCCTGAAGTCTGAACAATTATTTAGGTCTTACCAGGGTCTCTGAAGAAAATTGTCGTGGGAGGTGCAGGCGACTGCAGAGGGAGAGCGATCGATCTGGTCCACTTCAGCCCTGCCACGTAGAAGCCTGTGGGCATCTGTGAAACAGAGCTGACCTGTGTTATTCGGAGGTGAACATCACTTAGAAAAGTGGTAGGGACTGCCTGTTGGAGAAACTGGGGAGTGCCACCAAGAAGAAGGAGCTAGCGGGAATCTTGATTCTCCAGGAAACAAGACCAAGAGGAATCACCAGCTGCTTGGCCGCAGGCCTTCTGGTGCTTTTGAAAGCACCAAATTTGAGATTATCTCACTCAAACTTTAGGTTTCTGCTGCCAGAAGCAGAGGTGAAGAGTGGCTCACGCAGCCGGGTCCAGAAGCATCTAGGCAGTAACCTCAAAAGTACTCTTGACTTGCAAGAATAATGAGCAATGAGAGTATTGCTCATTTATTTTTGCCCCCTTTCTGTGTTGCTCCCTTTAATTCTTGTAGGAGTCTCCATTGACTTGATGCTAAATTATTTTCGTGGTAAAATAAGCCAGTTTGCAGCCTGAATGAAATAATTACAACTAGGCTACAACCCAGTGTAAGATACTCAATAACTCCATCGGTAGAGAGAGATGCTTGAAGCACACGCTTAAAATAGAGCAAGTGACTGGATGTCGAATGTTCCCAAGAGGGCTTGGCCAAGAGTATTGACGTTTTTTGGTTAACTGTGCTGGAGACAGTTTGTTAAGCTTAAAGGCTGCTAATAAATGCAGCTAGAGGCTCTAAGTCTGCAGTTAACTCCGATGGATAAGCCCGGGCAGATGTAAGAACTGGGGTTTGGGAACTATATTTCCAAAACTCTGACTTGGGTGGATTTTAGAAAGAGTCTGAGAGTGAAATGAGAGTTTGCCCATATTGCTTGGTGAGATTTGAGCTGAAAGGAGAGAAATTGGAGTGAAAAAGTTGGGTGATGCATCCTCCAATGCACTTTTCAGGGCAAACCAGACCATTTAAAACTGCCTCGCTGTTCCCAAGGGGTTCTTGTTGCCCAATTTTAACCACCACATTTATCTGTACCCCCTGCCCTAGGGAACCCAGTCTGCCTGCAGTGAATATCGACAGGTTTCTTGGCCGGGTCCTTGGTTTCAGGTTGATGTAGCTGGTTGTTTTTCATCCCACTTGCAGACAGAAGCTTAAAATTTGATGGTGTCCAATTTGGTGGCAGAATCGGGAAGGGTTCCACCTTAAACCACTGAATAGTTCTGGTCTTACTGCTGCCTGTGTGTTTATATGGTTTGGTTTGGTTTTTTTTTTTATTTTGTATTCTTTCTGTGTTTTTGGTTTGGGGGTTGTTTTGGTTTGTTTGTGGGTTGTTTTGGTTTTTTTTTTGAAACAGCAGAGTAAAACTGACTTGCTGCTTAGTAGTTTTGATTCTGCCCCCAAGGCTCTGAATGTCATGAGGAAACTGGTTAGAAATGTATCCCTTTCCCGCTGATGCTGTTAAACCAGTATATGAGGATCATTAGGTAGGTTCGAACTTTCTGGAGATGTAAAGGTTCCTTTGGGGGGGAAAGCCAAGCTGTTTTTGCAATGATGTGCTTGAAAGTCCATTATGGTCGTCCTCCAGAAAGCAAGGCAACAGGACTAGCTCTTCCCAAGTTAATGCCTCTTGAACTCCAGAGGTAGCTTTGCCATTCAAGCTAGAACATGAGCAATCTAATAAATTTAATATGAAAAAAAAAAAGTTTTCTAGCACTCTACACAACTGAAAACCGTCAAGATCCAGCAAACCTGGGGCAGCTGGTAGAATTAAAAACACATTGAGGGATGAGCATAAAGATTTTTTTATTATTATTTTTTAATTTTTTTACCCCCAAATAGTTGTGTGTTGCTCCGGATTAGGGGGGAAACGTGGATGGAAATGGTAGGCATATACAGCTTTGCATCACTGTCGTGACGCACGATGGTGCGGTCGTCGGTGTGGGATGCTAAAGGGATCACCAAAAGTAGACCAGGTTTTTGCATCTGTCTGTGTGGGAGGTTTCGGCCTCGGCACTGTTTTTAAAGGCTTATTAGACAGAGCTGTCTAAGTATTGTTTCTTACTTAATGCTTGATATCGAAGTCTGGGAATTTGGAGCATTATTGATTTGACCTCTTTTAAATTTCAGCAGCTTCACAAGAGACAGAGTGAGTTAGTAAGGAATGCAAAATATGTAAGTAATATATATTTTCCTAGCTAAATAGCTTAGGTGTATACATTTTGTACCTTGTGTCTTCTTACCAGAGTAAGGAAGGTTGGACCGTCTTTGCTTTGGGGGACTCTTCTTTCTCTTTTCCTTTCTTTCTTCTCCCTGCTTCACCTTCTCCAAGCTGTGGGCACGACACCAGCTCTGCTTTCTCCTCCTCGTAGTAGGTGTGCATTCTCTTGGCTGGTTGGTATCTCTGACTGGGGGTCTTTTGGTATATTTATTTTATTTTTTTTCCCTATGTTACATGGCAGATCTGGGGATTTTTTTGAAGTGGGGAAGAGAATAAATCACCTGAGTTAAATCTGATGAACCTGTAGCTGCTACGCAACTTTGTCTTGGGTCATAGATGTTAACGCTAAATCGCTGCGGTGGGAACATCGGATACACACGATGCTTCCTGGCGGGTATAGGTTAGCTTGGGAGCATTGCATTTAGCTCGTGAGTGTGGGGCAAATACTGATCAGCAGAAGTAAAAAAATGAAACAAGAAAACCTAGCAGCCACATAACTGTCTGCAAGTGAATATGCGTTCTTCCAACCCATCGCTGCCTGATTAACGTGCTTTTTTCTGTCTTAGACCCTTCGCAGGTGCTACAGCCGCGTGAAGGAGCATGGTGTTGGGAAGAGGAAAAGCAGCTACACGTTTGAACAGCTGGAGCAGGTTTTTGGGCAGGGAGGATGGGACTCTCAGCCCTGCCAGCCTGTCCTCATCAACAGCAGCGGCTTGTATCAGGAGCTGGAGTCAGACGGCAGCACGATGGAGGAGTATTCGCAGGAGGACTGGGGAAACCACAGTCAGGATCTTCATTGCTACCAGACTGGCGAACAGGAATTGGGTAAGAAATGCCATGTTGACGCATCTCCACTCTCTGATTTTGCCTGGGCTCTGTGCTCATACGTATCTCAGTACCAACTTTAATTTTTCTGACATAATGTGCTCAAGATGCTGAGCACCTGATGTCCTGGGGGCAAAAAAGGAAAGAAATTCCCCAGTTCATCATCAAAAGCAAACTGTGGTTCCTGAAGTGTTTTAGGATCAGGACTTAAGTCTAAAGAGCCTGGCAGGAGGAAAGAAGGGCTGTGTGGCTAGAAACGGTGGAGGAGGAGGTGACACATTCCCTGTCTCTCCTTCCCCTGCTCCATTTTACTTCCCCTCATGGGATTAGGAGGCTGTTTTCCCTTTCAGTGGTACCCTGCTTTGGAGGTCTGTGGGCACCAGCTGAACCTGGTGTTACCGTTCAAACACCATTTGGTTAAATTATGAGCAGGAGTTCAAACTGCTGCTATTAATACCAACGACTATAAAAAAATGTTGCTCCCTCTTCCTATATGTACCCTAACTGGTATGTTTTTTTTTAAACATGTAAATATGCTTATATCCAGATGTGTGGCCTGTTTTTAAATAAAAAAAAAAGGGCAAGCAAGCTCACATTCCAGGATTGAGACCTAACCCAAACTCTTCCACATGCTTTTCTTGCCTGAATTATTGGTGTCTCTGCACAAGAATCGATATATTCATTTAGTTTGGAGATTTGGTTGTTGCTTGTGGCTTATTGAACTTTGTTAAATGGAGCAAGGTACTACATTTTTGATTGAAAACACACACTGATCTGAGCAGTTTTGTGAAGAAGTGGGTTTCTTGAAGCATATTTATATCTCTTGAGCCACTGATCTTACGGGTGCATGTTCCTCCCTTGCCTGAGCCAGGGGGTTATTTTCACGTCAGAAACTTTAAGTTGATCAAATTCAATGGAGACCCAAGCGAAGCCGTAGAAGGTGAATTTGGTAAAGGCTCTTGGTGCCATGAGGTTTTTTTTCTCCCCCTTGCGATTTGTAGGATGAAACAGGGAGAGGAGATGCAGTCACGTATCTGTACACATCTGTGTTCAGGGGACTGGTCAATTGGGATGCTTTGAAAGAGGCTTAAATCGCAGTTTAACGTTAAAATTTGCAAGTTGGCTGTTAACCACATTCTGGTTCTCTCAGCCTTCTTCCCCAGGGGATTTAAAAGTCAGAAATATGTGGGAGAGGTGGGGAGAGGACAATGTTACAAAACGTATGTAAATGATGGCTAATTCCCTCTAGTTTGACTCGTTCTGGTGAGTCAAACTGCGGTCTCCTTGTTTGTCACTGTTTTCTTTCAGTCATATCGGACATATTTGTGTGCACTTGGGCTGACAATATTCTTAATGTTCAGAGAAGTTATGAGAAAAGCACTTAGCACACAACATCTAAATGCAGTACAGATGCATTTGTTCTCGTGCTTGCTCTTCAAATGTGCCATTGAAAGCAGAATAGTCTTTTTTCTTTCTTTTTCCTTTTTTTTTTTTTAACAATGTAGTTTGCAATCAAATTTGTTGTGATTTTAATAGCAGGAATTGTACTCTTGTCCTTGAAAAGGTCTTGCACTTGCAGAGATAGATTCAGATCTTAACTGACCACATCTCTTCCAAGGGAAACAAAATACTCTTCAGTTACGGAGGATTTAGGAACTGGAGCTGTCTCGTGCAGAACTTTAGTAGTGGACTGGCTGGCTTAGGAAGCAGCTCTGACTTATTTTTTTATTTAATTTCAGCCTTTAAAAAAATAAAAAGCCTCAGGAACATTATTTGAAAAGTAATTATGTGTTGGAATTTTACCTTTTAGATGAAATGCCTACCACAAAAAGAACATTAAAGATAAAACAGGAATCTTCAGAAGACACGCAGTAAGTAATTTATGAATGTTTTACCCTGGAATGTGTTTCTCTGGGGATGTTGTGCAGGAGGGGAGGATATTTGAAACTTCTGATTATAATTATAAATACATTGTGCAAGGCTATTCATACAGTTGAATCTGCTTTATGCATTATTCCAGTTACCTCAGAACATCTGAAAAGCTTCACAACTCTGTCTCTTCTTGGCTTCATCATTCAACAAACGAAACAAGAGTTACTACATGAATGCAAGGACTTAAAATGTGGATAAAACACACAGCAGATTCATTAGGGCTGTGTGTGGGCAGGCTGCGGGTATCGTGACATGAGGCCAAACTCTTGGATCTATTTGTAATCTTGGGTTTGGCTTTCTTTTTTTTTTTCCATTTGCCTGAAGTTTGCCCCTTTGGATGTAAGGAGAAAAGAGAATATAGGAGGAGTGGAGGAAAGAAAGAGTAAGAAGAGGGACGCAGCACCCCAGTAGTAGTGTGTACTGTTGGCTTGGTGTGAGTAATGCTTGCAAGAAAAGTTCATGCATTTCCCCTCCTTGGTGGGAAGGCAAGCCAAAGCTTGTGATTTTTTTTTTAATTATTATTATTTTTATAACTTTCTGGAGCTGACTTGTAACCTTTTGGATCGATTTAATCTAACAAATACTGGAGCGTTTCGAATGCTTTAAGCATGTGAATCTCCCTTGCCTCGCCAACAATAACACAGAGTGTTTTGAAAAATGGAAGGAGTTGTGCCGTATTTACTTGGACCAGGGCTACTTTCTTCTGACCTTTAGGGTTTTAAAACCCACAGGGTGGTTGTAGATCTGTCTACGATGGGAGTGAGCCATTGCAAATTGGCTCGCAGACCCTTCTGGGTGGGTTGCACACATGAGCTACCTCACCAATAATTTGTAGTGTCATCTGAAGCCAATCTGGTATTTCCTATGCTGGAAAGCTTCTGTAGGGTAGGAAGTCATCAGCACTGTATTAACATAGCGACCCTGGTTAGTAACACAACAGAGGCTTTTTACTATAACTGAATGAAAAAGTCCTCCAAAACCAAAAAAAAAAAAAAAAAAAAAAAAAGCAGCTTCCATTGTAATGGCCTAGCTTCGTCAAACTCCCCACTTCAGATGGATTTTCACGGTACCCAAAGGTGACCTTTTTTCTTAATGTGGAGCAAATTCAGTTTAGCAACTTGGGGATCACCTGGAGAAAAATAACCATTTTCAGTATAAATGTTATTACTGCCTTTTTGAACAGTTGCTTAGGACTGTTCTGGGATAATTTTACCTTTCAAGGCATGCTTTAGGGATTTGCATAGAAAATAATCCTGAATTTTCTGAAGTGGAGGCTCGGACTGCCTGAATCTTCCCTTCCAGCTTTTGTTGTGTAGATGGACGACTGGTTTAGATTTGGTAGATTAGACCTTTCAGAGTTTTCTGGTCATTTTTTCCCCCACCAAGTTCCCTCTGAAATGCACAGAAGTCTCTGAACTCTTGGGCATTTTGTGAAGCGTGCAGGTGATAAGCCTGTCATACGTGCCCGGAGGAAGCGCAAAGTATCTTCCAAGATGGATTTGCTGAAAATTACTTTTTTCCCCCCACTATGAGAGCAAGGACCTTTTAAACTCTGACTTAGTAGATTAAAAGCAGTCAGGAGAAGGGTGGCTAATACGAAGATAAGCTGGGTATTTATTTATTATCTTCAAAAAATAGAATTGTGTCTATTCTTAAAAGCCGCAGACAATAAATAGATGCCAAACTTTTTCACCTTTTTGGCCAATGTTTTAAAATACACCTAACTTACTTGGAAGAAGGTGGGGCTTCAGTTCATCTGCGTTTTTGGTCAAGTGCAGATTTTCAGCAGAAATAATCTCAATAAAATTGGAGGGAGTGGTAGTGCGTTCAGATTCTTTGCTGAACCTGTGCTGTGATTTTTGACGTGGAGAAATTGCAATGTGGCAATGCTGGACTGTAAGCACGTGTATTGCTAAAAATCTCGTCTTTGATTCCACCTTTCCTTCCCCCGGGATTTTGGAAGGATTTTTGGAAGGATTTTTTGCAGCTAAGCAGCTTCTGGAAAACCACAGGAGCAGATGTGCACCGTGACATTATTTTCCTAGCAGAGAGGGTGGGAGAGTGCTGCCGAGATGCTTGCTCTAGGAAACCTATCGCTGAGCTCTCTGGGTGCTGGAATTTATTCTGGCTCTTCTTTTCCTGATAAAACACACACGTGTGAGGCTGCTGTCACAATCAGCTGACCACAAACCTGCAGAAACAGAGGGAGCTCACTTTACTCCTGTTGCCTGTGAGGAGTTCAGCTGCTCCCGCCAGCTCAGTCAGCACTGGGACCTGATCACACACCAGCAGACCTAATGTGTTCCATCTCCAAGCAAGCTGCACAGCTCATTAACATGGACAGCGCTGCGTCTCTTAACTTCAGGTAGTAAATAACTGGCCTCTGAAGACATATAAGGACTTCCCGTATTTCCTGGGTTGCCTTATTTTCGGCAGCGTAGGAAGCAAAGAGCAATAGCGAAGCTGTGTCCAGGTTCCGTGCTCCGTCAGCTGGACTCTCCCCCATGTCTGCTCACCGTTGCGTCCCCTTGGCACACTGCTGCCTCCAAATAAACGCTTTTGAAAAATGAAATGCTACTTAAGACTCTGTTCTGCTATTTTAAATTTATTTGAGGAGCAGTTTTATTCACTGTGGGCTTTGTGAAGATGAACTAGAAAAAGCTTGGGGAGCTGGGTCCTTCACTGAAACCAGCTGTTTCAGGCTCTTTGAAGTCCGCTTTTGTTTGGAAACAGCGCCTTAGAACAAATTTGCACCAGTCTTGTCTCCCGTCTTTCCTCATTTGAATTGCAAAAGCTTCTGAGGAGAAAGAAATGCAGATGGCCAGTCTCCAGCACAGAGGTTGTGATTTGATGATAGGGTAAAACCCAGCTCTAGGGCACCTTCTGCAGATGAAAAATGAGATTGCCCTGTGACAAACAGCGCTGACACAGGGTAAACCCTCTGCTAGCTCGGATTTTTCCATTGAAAAATAAATAATAGTAATGATTTGACTCTTACAGCTTATAATACCTCTGCTTGGCTGAGTCGTGGAGGTGCTGGTCAGAGCCTGGGAAAGTGAGGTGCAGCAGGGCGGTTGCTGAGTCACCGAGTCCTGGTGTAAGAGGAGATGCTAAAACTGAAAAGCAAAGCTTTTTAAAATTTCTTTTTCCCTATTGCTTCCTCTGTGCTCGAAGAGATGGATTCCCTCTGTGGAAAGCCCTTCTCCTCTCCCATCCACAAGGTGCTACCAGTGATCATCTCTAGTGAAATTATTCCTCTTCCCAGCAGGAGCAGTTTGAGTGACTAATTTTTTTTTTCACCAGAGCTTCAGCTCTATTTTGTGCTGAACTAAACTTAGTGAGAGTATTTATAGTGTAATTATTAAAGGTGGGGGCTTTTTTTTTTTTTTTTTTGGTTCTTAGCTCTGTTCTTTCACTGTTGAATGAAAATCTACCCACGCTGCTTTCTCTTGTCTCTGGGTTTGGATGGGACTGCTTTCTTTAAATTGAGTTCAGCTGTCTGTCTAGAGTCGAATGAGCATATAACAGCAGTGAAACACAGGCTCTCTGCTACCAAACAGCCCTGTGCTGAGCCAGTGCTTACTGTGTCCCCTTGTCTGTCTTGTCCCCAGAAGGTGAATTTCCACTTCCAAAAGTCTAAAAAAGATGTTTTCCAAGCGTAGTGGCGCTGTGCTGCTCAGCATCTGAAGGAGAGTCGGGGAAGCTGTAGAGAAGCTTTGAGATGGTTCAGTATTGCTGCAGTGTTTGTGTGTAAATATAAATGGGTTGGGGGTAAATACGCATTTTTCTTGTACAGTATTTCTCTCCTTGCCTTCTCTTTTGCTGCTAGACAGGGAGAAGTGGAAATGACTCCTCAGAAGTAACTTAAAATAAGAAACGGGAGTCTGATGATGCAACAGGTGTTTTTCAAAACCCCTGGCTCAAAGACAACTCTGCTCGCCAAGCAGGTCCCCTCCTCGGTGCTCCAGAAACTCAGTTACGCTCTGAGCGCGGCAGCGATGCGCTTGCCAAAATGCCTTTTTAAGGCCTATCCGGGAACCTCCTGGCGTGGTTGCTGGTGCTAGATTGTTAAGATAGGCAGCATACCAATGGCTGCGGTCCCTCCCGTTGCCGTGAGGAGTGAGCTATCTGGGCCTGGATGGCTCAGACCTGTTGCTGGAGAGCTTGGACACCCCACCTGAGGTTTGCAGAGCTGGCGTGCACCGACCGTCGTGCGTCAAACTGCTCAACGCAGAGCTCTGTGGTCCCAAGCCCAGTGCCTGCAGTCTGTCCCGGAGGCACCAGATCACCTAAAGGACTTTGAGAACCTTCCCGAAATCACGTGTGTTGTATTTGCACCTACAGAAGCAGGTTTTTTGAGGTGAGAGGCTGTGAGGCTGGACCTCTCCAGCACCGTGGGAAGGGTCTGCAGCTCCCAAACCTTGTTTTCTTTGAACCCTTATATCGATAGGATGGAAGAAAGACACCTTCTGATCCACTTAGGGATTTATTGGGTAGAAATGCAGCTGCCAGTCTCAACCCCAGGTGTATCCTTGTGCCGTTTGTGTGGCGTCATATCTGCTCTTGCTTAAAGACCATCGTGTCCCGGCCAGCCTCATGCTTAACTCCATCAGGGAGCTGTTGGGAAAGGCTGATTTTAGGGAGTTGGAGCGATCTTCATGACCCCACAGGAGGAGGGAAGTTCGTGCATGCCCCGCAGAAGAAGACTGGTGTCGCCTGGCATGGGGACTAAAGATGCTGAAAGTGCTGGTGGGACACGGGAGGAGGCAGAACCCTCGTGGGGATGTGGTGACCCCTGTGCCATTGCAGTTCAGCTTTACAGATGCGGCGCAACAGATAAAAGGGAGGAGAGTCAGCGGAACAAGCTTTTAAATCCCACTTGTTGGACCAAGAGAGATTTCTCCATTACCAAACAAGTCACATTATCTTCCTACAGCTTTGATTATAGGACAATAACTCCTAAAATTAGTAGTTCTCCCTACTAGCTAATTACGCTCTAAGTGTCTCATTCATCCTGGAGGAAGCTGTTCCAGCTTGCTTCAGGCACACATGAATGCTTTCTCCCGATCGCTTAGCAAAGCGTATATCCCTCCGTGGAAACTCACTTTGGTGCCGGTGCCATTACCGGGAGTGTAAAAGAAATCTTTGGAAACGTGGCGATTTCTTTGTTGGCTATCCAAGAGGGATTTCTGCTGTCCATCCTGCAGCGGGTTATTGCGTTGCTTGTGTCCGGGTGCAGGTTATCTTCACCGGCATCGTCTGCTCTGTGGGGTTGGTCCCTTGAGCTCTGTTTCTGATCCAGTGCTGGGACTGAGCCTTTCGGAGCTGCTTGGTGCTTGCTTTGTAGTTTTTACAATTACAGCCCTGTTTGCTCACGTGAATTTTGGAGTAATGACGAGGTGGAAGCATTTTGAGTGGCGGTTGCAAATTAGGGATGCAGCTCCGGTCATCTGTGACGGACCGTGTGCCGATGGGAACGCACGTCTGTAAAGAATAACCCAGTAACAGAGTTTGCATTTGTTTAGCGACACCAGACACGTGTTTGCTTGTAATTGCTCTGAAGCGGTGCAGGTAGGAGCAGGACATTTCCACTGTGTGGGTTTTGGGGGTTGGTAAGAGCAGAAATCTTTCTTGGAAGCTGAACTTGGGGATTTATCAGCTCTCATTTTCTTTACCGGTTTATCTCCTGCAGAACTTCTTGCATGAAATCTCATTTCCAGCAGAGATTGCAGTTTGCTGGAGATACCGGAAGGAGTTTGGGTTGGGTTTTTCTTTGGTTTTGCTGAAATTAATTAAAAAAAAGTCAGTGTGGTGTTATAATCCATAAACTCACCTAGCTAACTAGGATGTATATAGTAATAAAATACCCACCACCTAAAAAGCAGCCAAGAAAGCTGGAAGGGTTTAATATTTCCCGAAGGTCAGTGCGTTTGCCGGGATGGTTTTGCAGCTCCGGTTTACTGATGCCTTTATCCTTCTCTCCGTGTTTTTTAATTTCCAGGAAGCGTGACGTCATGCAGAATATTATGCAAATCTTGGAGTCGGTCCAGTTGAAGTGGGAGCTATTTCAGAGCTGGACGGACTTCTCCAGGCTACATCTTTCTAACAAACTGGCCATTTTTGGCATCGGTTACAACACCCGCTGGAAGGAGGATATTCGTTACCACTACGCGGAGATCAGCTCGCAGGTACCCCTCGGCAAGCGGCTCCGGGAATATTTCAACTCGGAAAAACCGGAGGGTCGGGTTATCATGACCAGAGTGCAGAAAATGAACTGGAAAAACGTTTATTACAAATTCCTGGAGATCACCATCAGCGAAGCCAGATGCCTCGAGCTGCACATGGAGATCGACTGGATACCCATCGCTCACTCCAAACCCACCGGAGGAAACATCGTTCAATATTTATTACCAGGAGGGATCCCCAAAAGCCCCGGCTTGTACGCCATCGGTTACGAAGAGTGCCACGAGAAACCCCCCTCCCCTCTCGCCGAGCACAGGGGTCCCGATCCTGGCAATGAGACTCAAGGGGAGCTGGAGGTCCCTTCGCCACAAGCCTCCCTCCGGGTGGATATGGAATCCGCCCGGATTATCTACTGTTACCTCGGCATTGCCGAGGTCCGGACTCTCCAGCAGTGCCTGTTTTTACACTTTCAGGCAAACACCAAAACCTTCAGCAAAGATTGGGTCGGGATCAACGCCTTTTTATCTCAGAACTGCATCGTAGAGCCCGGTGTGTCACCCAAATCCATCTACATCAAATTTGTGGAAGTGGAGAGGGATTTTCTTTCCGCCGGCTCTTTGGTAGAGTGCCTGGAAAAAGCCATCGGATACCCCTTAAAATTTAACAACTGAGTCTCATCCTTCATAAGGATTAGGGCTTTCCGCCCCTTTTTTCCATCCTGCTACCAGACGCTCTCGGATCCTGTCTGTTCACAGCTGGGCAAGTCGGACTTTTCCGCCTGGAAACGAGTTTTGGGGTGATAAAGAGGCTCGTGGGGCGCTTTCCACGAGCTCATCCCCAGCAAGTGAGCGTGTCCCGGCTCTCTTGCCGGACGGACCGGCCGGTTTTCCTACCGGAGCGGCGCGGCGAGGAGAAGCCCCCGGCCTGTGAAATGACTGTAGGTACATTCCACATCGGACAAGCACGTACATGTGGCGTTTTCATATGAGAAGCTGGGGTTTTTTTTGGTTTTTCTTTATTCCACAGTGTCTCATTTTTACACATCCGTCTCTCTCTTAAGTGTTATTACGGATCTGAATAAATAAGCAATAGATAACGGCAAGTTAAACGTTGAATCACATTAAAGGAGACTGTTTTTCAAAGCCACCCTTAGATACTATTGTATATAATTTAGAACTTCACTTTTTTCACCCATCAAGTGTTCTCCTCTCTCCAAACAGTGTTGCCTGCAAAAAGACTTTGGTTTCTGTGATGTATTCCACTTTACTAGTAGCGTTGCCATATCTGCTTTTATTTTATTTTATTTTTTAACATTAAAATAATTCCTGGCCTTTTTATTTTTCTTATTTTGGTTTTTTGTTTGTTTTGGTTTTTTTGGGGGGGGGGGATTTTTTTTTTTTTTTTTTGTGGGTTTTTTTTTTTTTTGCGTTCTAGTTAGCCTCTTTGTGAGAATAACCTGGCAGCTGGGAAACTTTTGTTTTGTTTTGTTTTGTTTTTGTCGAACCATGCTTATGGATACAATCAAAGCTGTGAGAATGGGGAAGGGGGGGTTGGGGGAGGATGGGGACACGGGGACGGGGAGGGACACGGGGACGGGGGAGGACGCATTTAATGCCTTTTTCAGACGTGTTACTATATAAGCCCCATTATCTCGCTGGCTGGCGCTGGCAGTTTCGGTTTTTTATTTTCTAAAGCTCATCGATCGGTGAAGTTGTGACATACGATGAATGTGTCGGTCCTAATAAAATCAAGCAAACACGTATGGGCTTCAGCAAATGTCTTTCTCCTCCGCAAGGGGGGGGAATTGGGAGGGGGTGGCAGAAGTCTTTTCCTGGGATATTTCCACCGGGGCTTCGTTCCAGGGGTCGTTATTGCGAGAGTTGTTTAGTTTATTTATTTGGGGGGGGATGGGAGTACCGCTGGAACTGGTTTCCTTCCCCATGGAGATGCCCGAACTGTTTGAAAACGTGAGGACCGCTGCCTGGCTGGAGCTTGGCGTCGCCTTTGGATGCAGTGGAGCCCTGAGATGGCGGAGAGAGGAAGAGGAGGAGGTCACCCCCCCCGCCTTGCTCCCAGTACTCAAAATAGGGTGAGTCGCCCCAAAATAAGGGTGACTTGCCCCGAAGAGCCTTGGCTGGGAGCCGAGAGGGAAGCATCAGATGGACCAGGAGGTGAGATTGCCGGCAGGGAAAAGGTGAGATCCCGGTGGGATCTGGCAGGGTTGATCCCCCAAAAGCCTCCTTGCTCCCCGAGGCTGAATCCTGCAATCCCGGTGGCCAGGCTGGATTTATGGGGGGGAGATGAGGGCGAGAGGGGATTAATTCTGCCCCCCCCCCCCGCCCCCTCTTCTGCCGCAGGCGTCTAATCTCTCGGCTCCTGCTCTGAGGTCTGACCCTGGTTGGATCGAGGACCGGGATAACCTCGGCCGAGCCGGGGAAGATTCAGCCTGGGGCTCCCTAAAATGGGGGGAGCTCGATCCGGAGGCTCAAAAATGGCCTTTTTTGGGTAATTTCTTGTTGAGGATTCATGTGTTTATCCAAAGGCTCCCCGGGGCTGTCGGGGGAGAGGGGCTGGAGGGGATGCTCCCCCCTGCCACTGCAGGAGCGGGGGGGGTGGGGGGGGGGGGGGGGG